AATAGCTTCCCGGGCTCTGCTTTGGGGAATGGGAACCCCAGAGGCGTCCTTTGTTGAGAAAACAATTCTGTGACAATGAGAAAAGTGCAGAAAACCAGAGTGAGCCGAAATCTCCCCAGACCAGCGTCACTCCCTTGGTGGGAGGCAGGGCTGCCGGCTGATGCAGAGGGGCGGGGGCTGAGGGCTAGGCCGGATGGTCCCACCCCAGGGCCTGCCAGCCACATGGTCACAGCCAAAGCTGCAGCCCGGGCCGGCTCAGATCAGTCCTGCTCGGTCCTGAACCCAGAGAGGCAGAGTGACCCGGCCGCAGGCACACGGCCTGCTCAGAGCCGGGGTGCAGGTCTCTTGACCTTGGCGCTGCCCTTCAGAGCGCCGCCTGGCAAACAGGGCGCTGCAAAGAGGGCGCCGGCCTCTCACTGACCCCTCAGCATCCATCCCACTCAGGCCTGTCTGCAGATGACACTGAAGTCACAGCGGTCACTTGCCCTGGGTCGCAAGGTCAGGGGCTGGGGCAGTTGGGAACCGAGTCCAGGGTGTCTGCCTGTTAGGGGTGGGGTGCGGGTGGGGTCAGAAGATCAATCTGCACCCTTTTGTCTGGGCAACCACTTGGTCCCTCTGGGCACCTGGGATGGGACACAGTCCCGGGTGGCCTGGGTTTAGCGGCAGCGCCACCTGGTGGCTGCTGTGCTGCTGCCTGCACGCAGGGACTCCGGGCCCCTCCTGGGCATTAGGGGGAGCGCGGAGGGGTGTGTGTGTGGGGGGGGGTTCCTCTTCCTTGCTGGAGACCGGGGCTGAGCCAAAAGCTGCCTGAGGTGGACAAGAAAAGGACCCTGGCGGTGACGACCCTGGCTTGGAATCCCAGCTCTGCCCATGTGATATGGGTCGGGCTCCTCCACCGCGCCTCTGAGCCCCTCTGCAGAATGGGAACGAGGCAGGCACAGGGGTTGCTCTCAGGTTAATGGAGCACCTGGCCATCTCCCAGGTGCACGCCAGGGCCTCAGCAAGGATGCTCCGGCCGGTCAAGAAAGGACCCGCGCCGCGGCCACAGCCTGCTCCCTCTCCCCAGGGCTCCCCCTCAGTCCCTCTGCGCAACAGCCTGCGCACTCCAGGGGCCCCAGCTCTGGAAAGAGAGCATTCCCGGAAGAAAAGGAGCCCAGCGTTGGCGACCCCGGGTCGGGGTCTCGGGCAAGGCCTGGGCTGCAGCAGCTGGGATGGCTGAGGCGGCGGATCTGCGTCCACGCTCTCTCCACGCGCAGTGAGGGCCTTGCGGTGCCCACGCACGCGGACTCCAAGCTGCCTGCTCCAGCCCACGCGCTCTGCCCCAGTGCCGGGAGGTTTCCGAGCCCCCTGCCCCAGCCCTCAAGGCTGCGTCCCCTGGGTGCTCTTCCGCGCACGGACCCACCAAGCGCCCCCAGAGCCGCGGACGGCCACGACGTCGCCCAACAACGGCCAGGGAAGACGCCCTTTCTGTCCTGGACGACCCTCAGGCCCCAGGCTTCTCACCTGCCTCTCCGCCGCCCCAGCTCATCAGCGGCCCCGTCACGCGAGAACCTCGGGACCTGCGTGTTTCTGGTCCCCAGGGTCCGCCGGGCACTTCCGCTCTCGCCTCCCTCGTGTGTTTCCGGTCTCCAGGGTCCGCCGGGCACTTCCGCCCTCACGGCCCGTGTGTGTGTGTGTGTGTGTGTGTGTGTGTGTGTGTGTGTGTGTGTGTGTTTCCGGTCTCCAGAGTCCGCCGAGCACTTCCGCCCTCATAGCCCGTGTGTGTGTGTGTGTGTGTGTGTGTGTATGTGTGTTTCCGGTCTCCAGGGTCCGCCGGGTACTTCCGCCCTCACCTCTCTCATGTTTCCGGTCTCCAGGGTCCGCTTGGCTCTGGTCCTCAGTGTCCCTGCCAGGTCCACCCGGCCCTCGTCCCTCTCCAGGACCTGGCAGACAGCTCCCAGAGGCCCCCAGTGTCACCAGGGGTGGTTCAAGGCCTGCGCACGCAGCCTCCCCGCGGCCTAGAATGGCCACCAATGCTGAGATCCTCTCCCGCTGGAGTGGTGGCCAAGGTTACGTCGGCTCCTCTGGTGCCCGGGCTGGTGCCCGAGGGCCGGGCCCATCAGTCCTGTCGGACTGTGTCTGTGGAGTTGGTTCTGACCACCTCTGTGGGCGGTTGTTTATGTGGGGTGTTTCTGGCCACATCTGTGAGGCTGACTGCCACTCTGAGGGTGTTTCTGGCTGTCGGGGTGTTTCTGGCTGTGTTTCAGGGGCCTTGGGGCTGTGACCCCGGCTTCCCCGCTTTCCAGCTCTGCGGCCTGGAGCAGCTGACTCGGCCTCTCTGAGGCTGCTTCCGCGTCGGCAAGCCATGTGCCATGATGGCACCCAGGCGGCCGAGGGTGACGGCGAAAGCCATGTGCCATGATGGCACCCAGGCGGCCGAGGGTGACGGCGAGCGCTCGGCTCCTCACTGCCTCTGTTCTCTTTCCCGTGCTCCGGGCTCCAGGGCCCGTCGGCACCGCTCACAGAAGCCCCGGTCCATCGACCCCATGGCCTGACCTCAAGGCTACGCCCAGACCCAGCAAACCCGGATCCAAGCCGCCTCCACCTGCCGCAGGTGTACCTGGCGTCTCTGGGCAAGACTTGCAGTTCCTCACTTTGGTTTGCTCATGTGAAAGCCGCTCGCCGAGCGGTGCCTCTGTGGTGATGTGGCAGGACGCCTGGAACTCGGCACGGGGCTGCGGGGAGTGTGGGAAAGCAATGCAACTCCCAGGGAAGCTGATGCTCACACAGGCGTTCCTAAATCCACGCCCGAGAGGGATCATCCGATGGTTCATGGAAAACGTGTGTTACGGAACAAGTATGCATGGACTTCAAAATGCTTTAGCATCAAAATAAGCTTATCTTGAAATATTTGTTTGAGAGGCAGAGAGACACTGAGATCCCCCATCTGCTGGTTCACGCCCCAGACACCCACAGTTGCCGGCTGGGTCCGTCAGGTGGGTGGCAGGGACCCACATCATGGGTCCCCCTGCTGGCTCTGAGTCTGCATTAGCAGGAAGCTGGAACAGGCGCGGAGCTGGGTCCTGGACGTGGGTGCTGCAGTACGGGGTGTGGGTGTCCTAAAACCTTAACTGAGAGACCAAATGTCTGCTCCAATCTCATCATTCATTTTTCCAGGAATTTATTTTTTGTTTATAGATTTATTTGTATTTGAAAGGGTGTTACAAAAAGAGAGGGAGAAGCGGGGATGGGGGTCTTCCATCTACCGATTCACTCCCCAAACGGCTGCCCGGTGCATGGCTAGGGCTGGGCCAGGAGCTTCTTCTGGGTCTCCCAGAAGCCCTTGGGCTGTCTTCCACTGCTTTCCCAGGGAGCTGGTTTGGAAGTGACGCAGCTGGGACTTGAACCGGCGCTCCTGTGGGATGCTGGGATCGCAGGCAGCAGCTCTGGGCTGTGCCACAGTGCCAGCCGCTCAGGAACTTCCTGAAGTGCTCTCACAGTGCTCCGGGACAGCTCTTGTCCCCGCCCTTGGCAGGCCACGAGCACACAGTTGGTGGCACGCTCTGCCCTGTAGCCTGGAAACTCCAAGCACAGCGTGTGTGTGTGTGTGTGTGTGTGTGAGAGAGAGAGAGAGAGAGAGGTCCCAGAGTTGGCAGCAGGGACCGGCTTTTCTCCCTAAGCGGTATGGAGGTGCCTACGCCGAGGACTCATTTCCTTCTAACAGCTCGAGAAGCCGCAGGGGCCTGATTATGAAACAGGCGTGCCCGGGAGCCCCAGGGCCGTTCTGGGCCAGCTGTATACCCTGTGGGACTCACTTCTCCCCCAATTTACAGATGGCTAAGCTGAGGCCCAGAGAACCCGGCAGACTTGCTTGGGGCACACTGACGGGGAGGCTGGGAGCAGAGAGGCAGAACAGCTTCTCCCCGGACACTTACCCCTGAGAGGGGCAGGGACACTCAGGGGAAGGACATGCCCCACCTGCCTCAATGTCCCCACTCCAGGTACAGGCTTGGGGCATGGTGGGTGCTGGGCAGAGGCTGCTGACTGCACCAAGGAACAAGTTCCCCATGTCTGCAGCCCTCAGCACAGAGTGCCTTCCACCTTCCATGGGAAAATGTAGTCCCGATGGGGCTCCTGGCTTCACCTCTGAACCCCCCTCCCCTTCCTGGGCGACTTGCATTGCCTCATAGAGCTGGGCTGCAGAGTCGCCGTGGGCCAGCAGGGGTCGCCAGCACTCCTGCAGCCTGCAGGATCACTGGGTACAGGAATGCCTCACGTGGCCAACTCTGTAGGCGCACAGCTCCGGGAAGGAGAGAGGCCCACATCCCTGTGACGCCAGCCTCTTGTGTTGCTGCTTAAAGCACTTCCGGACACAAAAGGAAAGACAGGTGACTGCTCTGAGCTCCGTGGCTCCGCGACCTCAGGCAGCACGCAGGGACCCTCTGAGGGTCCCAGGGTTTCTAAATGTTAGGACTTCATGGGATGCCTTCCCTGTGAGCAAATATCATCACCTCGGGGAGGGCGAGAGGCCACGGAAAGGGAGACCCCAACGTCAGGACGTTAAGCAGAAGAGCAGACACGGGGAAGCGATCCCACCGTGCTGCGGGCTGGTGGGACACACACGCTCTGCGGTCTCCAGTGTGTGCTGGGAAGTCCCAGACTCAGAGCAGACTCTGAGTGACGCAAATCACGTCTCAGCGTTTCTCAGAGTCATCGCCGGGCTCGGCACACGGAGCTCACACAGTCTACATCGCCACCCTGCGCTGGGGGCAGGAGCTACTGTGCCCGTTTTAGAGACAAGACAGGTGAGGCTCGGGGCCCTGGTTAGGGAAGGGAAGAGAAGAGAAGGGGAGGGGAGGGGAGGGGAGGGAAGGGAAGGGAAGGGAAGGCAGGCCTGCCCATTCCCCCTCCCTGGCCTTAGATGCGAGGGTCTGCCCACTGGGATGGGGGCACGCGCCCGTGCTGCACCCTCTGCCCACTGCAAGGTGGCTGTGGCTTTCTCTGGTCCTCAAAGCGCGACAGACGTTAAGGTCGAGTGACTCAGAGATAGAGCGTTAGGATCGCACAGACCTGAGTTCTCTTTCTAGTCCTGCTGTTTTCTAGCTGTGTGGCCATGGGCAGTTTGCTTGATTTCTCTGTGCCTGCAGAATAGGCAAAGAAAGAAAAACAATAACCACCATCAAGTGCACACTTGGCAGAGCTGTGATGGCTGAGAGAGCGCTTTTTTAAAAAAAGATTTATTTGAAAGCCAGAGCAATGGAGGGGAGTGGAGGAGAGGAGAGGCAGGGAGGAAGAGAACAAGAAAGTATCTGCCATCCACTGGTTCACGCCCCCAGTGGTCAGTGCCGGGCCAGCTTAAAGACAGGAGCCAGGATCTCTGTCCAGGTCTCTCACGCGGGTGGCAGGGGTTCAAGTACTTGAGCCCTCATCCGCTGCTTTCCCAGACATGTTAGCAGGGCGCTGGATCAGAAGTGGAGCAACCTGGATTCGGATTGGAACTCTGGGGATGCTGGCGACACAGCTGGCAGCTTAACCCGCTGTGTCACACGGCCAGCTTCAGAGATAGCTTTTGCAAAACCTCTAGCGCATCTGAAGTGCCTTCATAAAGTTCCTCAAAGAAACGGGCTTAAACAGTTTATTTTGGTGCAAAAAAAATAGAAATCCAAGCATAGTTTTTTTTTTAATGATATGCATGTTCTATAAACTCTTTCAAGATCTTCTCATAGGCAGCAATTTCAAAAATGTTTTGCACCAAAATAAACTTCCATTTTACTTCCATTGCCTGCAAGCTTTTAGAAGTTCTCCATAGCAGGCAGAGGTGAGCGCGTGCATCTGCCGGGCACGTAGCAGACTCCACGGACAGCGAGGGCGGGAGGAAGGGGAGCAGGGCTGGGTGGAGTCCGTCACCCCCATGCCTGGAACCGGGGTGGTTCAGCAGGCATGGTGAGCCCCGCCCTGCTGGGAGCCGGCACAGCAGGGTCGGTTCACGCCATTGGTTTTAAAAAACGAGTAGGCAGACAGTGGTTACACCCTTTGGATCCCTGATAAAAACGCTCATTGTGCAAAAACAGTACAACCTTTTTCATTTTTTAATAATACTGTAAATATCTCAGATGTTTCTAATGAATATCAAAAAAGTTTCATGATGACGAGTTCCCCCCACCCCCGTGTGACCCTTCCCACCCCTCCCGAAGTTGCCCAAATCCTAGTAGGAAATTACAAAAACCCAGGGCGCAGCGCCCCGCCCTCCACCCGCCCCATGAGCAGTGTTAAGTGCATCAAGTGTTAAGTGTCGCGGGCACAATGTGTGCGGCCCCGGGGACAGGCGGTGGGGGCTGTGCGTCCGCCTGTCTGCCAGGGAGTTGGAGGTGGAGATCCAGTAGCAGCAGCGGTGAGACGCGCCCTCCCCGGCACCTGCTTTGAGGACGGCAGCCCTGGGTTCCCAGAGGAGGACGTTGATGAGCCCCCAAGGACCCGAGCTGGCCTGCACCGCCTGGGTGTGAAGGCCCGGACTGGGCACCCTGGCTTGCCCAGGGGCACGAGGTGTCGCTCGGAGCAAAGTGGCCCAGACAGGGACGCGGGAGTCTGGCAGCTCCAGGGTGAGTTAAATGCATGGGTTTCCTGCCTGAAACGGAAGCCTTGGTTTGGGGCTCACGTTTCTACCCAACACAACAGGGACCTTGTAAAAAAAGAAAAAGGGTGCATCTCCCCCTCCCTTAAATAGCTCGGAAGCCAAAGCAGAGGGTTGATGCAAAACCCAATGAGTAAAGAATGGGGAGAGAGCCCATGCCAGGCTCGGGGCGGGGCAGCGGCAGCCCTCCCCCGGACCCCTGCCTCCCACCTACGCGGGGAGGATCCCCTGTCAGAGGCAGGCGCAACGGCTCCAGAGGGCAGGGAAGCAGAGGCTCAAGAGACAGGCCGGCGGGGAGAGGGGAGGGCAGCACACAAGAGAAGAAGGGGCTGGGGCTGGAGGAGGCCCTGGGGGAGAAGACAGGCCCCCAGCCCCAGGGGAGGCTGGAGGAAGACCCCCCAGACTCAGAGCCTGCAGGGCAGCTGCAGGAGCCAGGCCGCCTCCCGGGCCAGGGAACCAGCGGCCACAGTCACCCCAGCCAGCCCGCAGGGACAGAGACGGCTGGGGGCAGGGGCTCTGCCAACAGTGAGGACCAGCTGTCTCTGACAGAAACCGCCAGCACCCTATCAACACTGCACGAGGCTCGGAACAAGCAGCGGAGTTACAGTCGCCTCCTGCAGGGGAAGCCAAGATCCGGGGTGGCTCTGCCAGCCAGCCAAGCCGGCCCCTCCCCCAAAACGGGAGAAGGGAAACTGAGGCAGCAGGAGGGGAAGGGAGTGCCCAAGGTCGCTGAGTGGGTTGGGGTGGAGTGGTGTGTGTGTGTGTGTGTGTGTGTGTGTGTGTGCAGCCCAGCAACCCTGAGCCTGGCGCGACTTTCGCTTCTCTGCCAGGCATGCCTGCACAGGCAGTGGTCCCTGGGCGTGGTGGAGGGGCAGCTGCGGGTGTCACGGGGCCAACACGGACACGGGACACAGGACACGGGATGAGGGAAGGTCAGTTCCAAGGTGCCCGAGGGGGACAGGTGTTGCTCCCTGGCCACCTGCTCACGGCCCGAGCATCAGTTTACAGCATCACACACTTCTTCCTAACGCGGGTTAAAGGCGGGATGGTGAGGTCCCACCGGTCACTGTACAGGATTATCTCGCGGGGGGGGGCGGATACATCCAGGGTCGGCGGGCTGGGACGGGCGTCTGAGTTTAAAGCAGTGTACAGTGGCCAGCTGAAAGCTACCTTGTTAATACGTCCTGTGCAAAGGAGCAAGGCCCTACCACTAGGAGCGTGCGTGTCGGGGGCTCACACGCGTGGGCACAGGGGAGGAGCAGGAAGGGGGCGCAGCCAGGCGGCAGGGCTCAGAAGTGCGTCTCCTTCTCTGTGATGGCCGCGATGGAGCCGATGGAGCCGTCGCTCTTGAGCTTGGCGTCACAGTCATTAACCGTCACCGTCCGTGGGCTTGAGCCAAGCTTGCCACGCATCTTCAGGTCGGGGCTGGGGACCGTCAGCTTCCGCAGTTTCTGCAAGGAGGAGAGGAGAGAGGCTGCCTGAGGGGGCCCTGTCCCCAAACCCCAGCCCACCCCCCGGGAGCTACAGGTCAGGGTACTCCAAAAAGCAGCAGGAAATTGGAATCATGGGATAATTCTGTGGCATAATACTGAAAAAAGCCATGCATGTGCAGGCGTTCCCCAGGAGTTCACAGGGAATACGCACAGTGAAAAAACTTCCACACCGAAACAAACGTATTTTTAAATTCCATTTTCTATGGACTAATAATTGTAGCTAATTAATTTGAGAGACAGACAGAGATCCCCCAGCTAGTGGTTCACAGCAGCCTGGGCTGGGGCCTCCACCCAGGTCTCCCATGTGGGTTGGCAGGGTCCGGCTACGTGAGCCATCGCTGCTGCCCAGGTGTGCACTGCCGGGAAGCTGGAGTCGGGAGCTGCCGCCAGGCGTGGAACCCGGGCACTTCAGCTGCTGGGACACGCGCCCGCTCCTCCAGGAGCTCTCCGAGGTTGGCGGGCAGCAGTGTCCCTCAGGAGTCACTGCCTCCTGGGGTCTGTCCTCTCTGGCAATGGGGACCACAGAGGTCCTGGCTGCGGGGGTCAGCAGGGGGCGGGAGAGCGGAGGAAGTGTTTGGCCCTCTGCCCGGCCGTGCCAGGGACAGGCTTGAGAGCTGTCACCAGGGCCGACCGCCTCGTCTCTCCCCTCTGGTGGACACTGGGGCCCTGGGCCTGGAGCCTCTGCTTGGCCTCTCGCTAGCTGCCCTTCCTCACCTGTGAGACGGGACAGCAGTGCCCACCCGGAAGGACCGGCAGCAGAGGGGTGGGGAGGAATCGCGAGGGTGGCTGGGGCATCTCCCACAGAAGGGACATGTGTCACCATGCCACCACCAGGGGAAGGTGATACGAGGGTATTGTGCTCCTGGGACGGTGTCGGGGCGGGGAGGGGAGGGGGGAGGGCAGAAGCTTAACCAGCACTGTCGGTGCTGCCTGGCAATGCAGCTGGTGCCAGGCAGGCATGAGCGGATGCCAATCGCCCCCCCTCCAGATGAGGCAGCAAGGCCACAGCAGACCCCTACTACCGGCTCCTGCCTCAATAGCATCTGCACTCCCCCAGCCTCCCACATGACAGGTTGTCTGTCCTTTCAGACCTGCCATGCCCAGCAGGCTGAGCCGACTGTGCCCAGGTAGGATTAGCACGCACCTCCTGATGCTGACCACGGCGCAGCGCATGGGCTCCTAAGACAGGCACCTGGCTGTGCATCCCAGCTCCACCACCCAACACACGCAAGAAACCCAACCTCTTATGGCTCAGGCTCCTGCTCCCAGGGCGAGCCGCCTGGCACCGACACAGCACCGACACGGCATCGATGGCTAGTGCAGTCCCAGCACACTGCGGCATGCCCAGCAGGGACCACATCGTCCTGCAGACACTTCCTGTCTGTTGCCAGCGCCCCCTGCAGGAGCCGAAGCTCAGGGAGGTGAACCCACCACTGAGAGGACCCACAGGGCACAAGGCCTGGAGCTGGGTCTGACCACTCCCAGAGCACTCGCTGTCCTCACCAAGGCTGCCTGTGGCTGGCAGGGCTGGGCCTTAGGGGCAGCTGGGGGAGCAGCCGCCCCACCTCCTACATGCACCAGCAGACGCAGGCGTCTCGGCACCACATGGCCACCTGGAATTTGGGCAGGGGGCTTCTGGGAGGTGAGGTCTGAGGGCGCCGGGTCAGCTCCCCTCTGCACGTTTGGCCCGAGGTCAGAATGAACCAGCTGCCCTTGACCTACGTTCCCTGCAGGACCCAGAAGCCTGGCTTGCTCAGGCCAGGAGCATAGTGGAGACAGGGCCTGCCCTCTGGGGCTGCTCCTTGTGGCTGGACGTGGGGGTCTGCTGGAGCCTGGGCTCCTGCGTGGCCAGGAGGGCGACCTGAGCTGTAACTTGCGTCTCAGCTCCTGCCCCTTCCTGTCTCCCTCCAGCCTTGGCCTGAGATGGCTGGGGTGTGGCCCCCCGGTGCAGGCAGACGCCAGGGGGGCGTGGTGTGCCCAGGGATGAGGGGCTGCTGCTCTCTGCACTGTGTTTCCTCATCTGTGGGTCCAACGAGAGCCCAGGGCCGAGGGCAGTGTGTACTGGTGGGGGCGGGGCGGGGTGGGGGCTTGGGTCAGAATGCAGCCTGGCACTGAGTGGCTGCGTGCTGTCCTGCTGCGCCAACAGGAAAGGTGCGGCAGGGGCGGAGCCAGCGGGAGAGCAGGCCAGCGGCCACGTGGGCGCGGGAACAGTGGCAGCACCATGAATAGGCTCCCGGGCTTGTAATGCCAACGATGAGGGCACGATGTGGCAACTCACACACGTCACGGAACTGTTTGTCTCAAACCTCCCTGGGTTAAACAGTTTGCCAGCTGAGTGACCCCATTTCTCCAGGCCTGTTTCTCTCACCTGTGAAAGGCGGTGGCGGGTCCAAGCCCCTGCCTGGCTCGGAGGAAGAGGGTCTGGCTGAGGGTGACATGGGACAGGTGCTCCCCGCGTGTCAAAGTGAACAGGCTGACCCCTGGCTTCCCTCTGGCCCAGGTCCTGGCCCAAGTGCTTTCTCTGGGCACTCACCAAGCCTCTGAGACCTCTGCAGGTTATATATTGCCGCCAACCCATTTCACAGGTAGGGAAACTGGAGCCTGGCCCACAGAAACCCCCCACACAATCGCAGTGATGTGTGCCTGCCAGGGCTGCCCTGTGAGCAGGGGAGGTGGGGAGGTTGTCTTCCTCACGTCCATTGTCCAAATGAGAACACTGAGGCACAGAGCATGCCCGGGCCTCGCTGTGCCCTGGGGCTGGAGGTGGAGCCCCCCCCTCACGCCTGGGCCTCGCAGTGCCCCAGGGCTGCCTCACCTCGGGCAGGGAGCCTTCCGTCTGCCACATCTTGACGGCAACCCAGAGTGGGATACAGAGCATGGAGGACAGGGCCATGAGCCAGCCGATGCCGTAGCCCCAGGCTGGGTAGGTGTACACGTTGTTGTACTTGAGTGGCTTGTACTTGACCAGGAAGAAGATGAAGATGCCCTGTGGAGAAACAGGACAAGTCCCCAAGGCACGGCCCTCAGCCCCATGGAACCAGGCAGGACACCGCTCTGGGCCCGACACCAGTGCCCCGGGGCCTCCCACACAAGGGATGCCTCGGCCCAGCCTCTCATCTCGAAGCCTCCATTGAGGCCTGCGACACTTGCCGTGCGGGCTACAGGCTGGGTTTCCAGGAGCCACCAACTCACACCAGCCACTCTGGGTCTCCTGTTAGGGCCAGAGCGAGCCCTGATGGGAGCCCGGCTCTGCTGCCTGCACAGCCAACAGGGAAGCAAACCTCAGCCACACAACCACGTGCGGAAGCTGAGGCCGGGGGAGGAAGACACACGCCCGTGGCCACCCAGCAAACTGGTCATAGGGAGGCCCCCTCACCAGGCATAGAGCCCGGCCGTGACCTCAGCTTCCCAAGGCGCCGGAGGGATCGGGCGCAGGGGTCGTGAGTCTCCTTGTCCCAGCCTCGGCTGGGGACGGCTCCCGTGTGGGTTCTTACCGCGCAGATCCCAGGAGTCACGACCTTCCAGCACCACTTAATAAGTGACACGGGCCGATAGCCAATCATGTCTTCGATGTTGTCATAGAACCGGTTGCTTCCTGTTGGGAACAGAGCAGGTGGCACCTCCCCACTGGGAACTTCTGTACATGGAGGCTCCCCACCCTGGGACCAAGCACCTGCTGCGGGGACCCCAGAGGCGACCTCTGCGAGGCCTCAGGACGACGCTCAGCAGAACCCCGCACTCCACCCCACAGCAGGGAGGGGCCGAGCCAGCCGTCCTTGAAGGGGAAGAGGAAGAAGCCGGCACAGATGGAGACAGGAAGAGCCGGGAGCCCCTCGTGTCCTGGGCACAGAGCTGGCAGCTGGGGCGTGAGCCTTGGCAGCTACTCACCGTACACCCAGCCAATGCAGACACACTCAAAGATGGCCACGAAGAGGAGGCACATCCCGCTGGCGGCGTAGGAGTCGAAGAGCTGGAAGATGTACATGCCGCCCTGCGGGGGAGGGTGGACACGGTCAGCTGGCCCGCCTTGGCAGGGCCCCTCTGCTCTGCCCCGTGGCTGCCCTCGGCCACGAGACTGCGGCCCTGCTCGGGGGGCCCCCCGAGACTGGCACTGGAGGGTTTGCTGGCCTCTGCCCCTCCCTTCCTGGCTCCCCACGGGTCAGAGATGCCACAGTCAGTCAGCCCTGGAGAGGGAGCAGCCTTAACACCAGCCCCTGGGAGGGCCGTCCTCCTGGCCCCCAGCCTTCCCCCCTCCAGTGCTTCCATGGCACTCCGCAGATGAAACTTAGCCTTCAGCTCCCGGCCAAGGCCACAGCCCCCTCCCCCGGCCTCGCTTCCCCCACCCACCAGCCCGCTCAGCGAGCTCCCTCCCGCACAGACCAGGGCATGTCTCCTCTGAGCCTTCGTGCACACTGTCCCCCTGCACTCGGTGAGCTCCTTCAAAGCACAGATCAAACGCCAGTGCCTCCAAGGAGGTCGCTGACAGCCGCCTTCCTGGGGCTCCAGAGGCTCACGGTCAACGGCAGGGAAAGGGCCCTGTGCCCACTGGCTGTTCTGTTCGCTCCCAGCCCCCACCAGGAAGACCCCATAGCTTGTTTCCTTTGCCTCTGCAGCCAGAGCACGGGGCCTGGCGCACAGCAGGTCCCCGGATATTGTTAGCTGAATCTGCACAGTGTGAGCGTGAGCTCCTTGGGGGAGGGGCTCCGGCTGGTGTAGAGCTGTGCCCCTGAGTCTGGCGCCACAGTGGGCACACAGCAGGTGCGCAAGACAGTCAGCCTTTGTGGGACAGAGGAAGCAGCATGGGCCAGCTCTGCAGCTCACAAACCTGGGATGACCCAGGGCTGAGGCCTGGGGGAGCGCGTGGTTGGTCATGGTGACTTGTTAGGGTCTCTGGGAAGGGTGGACAGTGGTGGGGGGAGCCGAGCCCCCCCAGGAAAATCTTTACACCATAACGAGTGGTCTCAGGGGACACAGCAGTGGCAGGGAAACACAGCGAAAGAAAGGACAGGGCAAGAGGTCAGTGGGAGGGGGTGAAGAGGCCAGCACAGTCTCTCGGGGCTTCCTGAGGCTGCGTCAACTCTCCCTCTGTGCTCCCCGAGTCTCCGCGGCCTCCCGCGGGCACAGTCTACACTCTGGGAACTTCTGTTTCCTCATTCACTTATCCAGCTGGATTGGCTAATGTCACAATGGCCACAGGGCTGGACGGGTGATGCAGGGGAGAGACGTGGGCCAGTGGGACAGCAGCGTGACCGCAGCGTGAGGGCACGGGTAGTGGGCGCTGGGGGACGCTCCTGTGAGCCCCTGTTCTCAGAGTTTCTGGAAAGCAGCTTTGTCTCTCTCGTCATTGTTGGTCACTTCTTCCACTTTTTTTTTAATGTTTATTTTATTTATTTGAAAGACAGAGTTGCACAGAGAGAGGTAGAGACAGAGAGAGAGGTCTTCCATCCACTGGTTCACTCCTCAGATGGCCACAACAGCTGGAGCTGTGCCAATCCGAAGCCAGGAGCCAGGAGCTTCCTTAGGTCTTCCACATGGGTGCAGGGGCCCAAGGACTTGGGCCATCTTCAACTGCTTTCCCAGGCAATAGCCAAGAGCTGGATCAGAAGTGGAGCAGCTGGGACTTGAACTGGTGCCCATATGAAATGCCAGCGCTGCGGGCCAGGGCATTAACCCGCTGCGCCACAGTGCCGGCTCCCTCCATGTTTTCAAGAAGCACAGAGAAGACAAAACGAGGGGAAGCCCTGAGCCTGCACAGCCCGGGGCCTGGTTTTCTGAGCCAAAGCCCGAGAGCCTCCCTGCCCATCGCGCTCCTGCCGTGACCGTCACAGCGAGAGGAGGATCACGGGTGTCACAGGCGCCGCTGCACCGCGCCCAGCCCTCAGCCCAGCTGGTCCTCAGGGCACGACCGTGAAGCAGGCACCACGGACACCCCCGGGTGGCCACACGGGGAAACTGAGGCGCGGAGCTGCAAGAACACCTGGTTCAGGCCCCCACCCCGTCCCACACCGCCTCGTTGGGGACAGCACATGCGAGGCTGGTCTCTCCACAGGGCCAAGCTCTTTCTTTTTTTTTTTTTTTTATAAGAATTATTTGTTTATTTTGAAGATTGTATTTATTTATTTGAGAGGCAGAGTTACAGACAGATAAAAAGCTCTTAAAGCCATTGGTTCACTCCTGAAATGACCACAATGCCCAGGGCTGGGCCAGGCCAAAGCCAGGAGCCAGGAGCTTTGTGGGTCTCCCCATGGGTACAGGGGTCCCAGCATTCAGACCACCTTCCACTGTTTTCTCAGGCACACTGGCAGGGAGCTGGATCAGAAGTGGAGCAGTCGGGACTTGAACTGGCGCCCATGTGGGATGCTGGTGCTGCTGGCGGCGGCTTTATCTGCTACACCACCACGTTGACCCCCACAGCCATGCTTGAGTGGTGTGTAATGAGGGCGGACTTCCTGCAGGCAGTCACCGTGGTGGAGAGGCTGACATGGCCGTTGGCACTTGAACTTTGCCAGGGCACCTGCTCCTGGATATTTCTCCGTGCGGTCCAAGGCTGACAGGTGAAGCCCAAGTGCCTGGCAGCGCTGCTGGCTCCCTGATGGCTCAGGGTCACAAGGCGCCCCCTGGGCAGTCCCCCCAGCCCCGCCTGCTGCAAGCCCGTGACGCCCAGGCCAGCACTCGCTCTGTCTGCCCCCGCTAGGCTCTCCTGCACGAGGACAGCTCTCAGCCTGCAGGTGACACAAGACTCTGCTCCGCTTCTCGGTGCGTCCTGTGGCCCTGCTCGCGACTGCTCTGGCCCCAGCTTCCCTGCCTGGGGACAGGTGAGGGGAAATCAGGAGACGCTGCCCTGTATCGGTGTGGATGATGGCTCTCACTAGGACTGGTAACAGCATCAGTTCCCGAGTGGGCTCCGAGGACACAGAGCTGAACAAGGCCAGCTCCTGCTCTCACGACCTTGACCTCAGCACCCCGTCAGCTATTGTAACTGACTCCGCGTTCCCTCCTTGTCTTTCCACGTTTCCTACAAAAATGCTTCTGGTCCCTAGGCAACAGGGTTCTTTTTCTTTTAAATTAATTACTTTTGGGTACACGGGGACAAAGCTACCTCATCGCAGCTTCCCCGGACACCTGAGAAAGCACGGGCTTAGGCAGGAGGAGCGGCAAGCAGGGCTTCGTGAGACCCTCACTGTGGGAGGCCTGAGCTCCCCCCGCCCCCGGCCCCGCAGGCCCAGCAGGGACGACGGGTGGACCCGGGGACTGGGGCCGGGCTGCGCAGAGGCCTGACGGGCCGTCCACAGCAGGACGCCAGTGGCCGGAGCCAGCCGAGCGGCTGGTGGCTGGCGAGGGCGCCCAGAGCTCCCTCCTGGGGAGGCTCCAAGCTTCCAGGCCCACGGTGCTGGGCCTGCAGAGCACCCTCTGCACAGCTCGCATTAGGGTGTTGCTCCAGGGCCCAACGGGAACTTCCCTGCGATTTTTTTTTTGATGATAAGCATTTAAAGTTTTAAAAATTCAAAAACTTATTTGAAACAGAGAGAGGAAGGGAGGAAGGATGGGAGGGAGCGAGACAGAGGTCTTCCACCTGCTAGGTCACTCCCTAGAAGCCCACGACAGCTGGAGCCAGAAACTCAACCTGGGTCTCCCACACGGGGGCAGGAACCCAAGGACAGGAGCCGTCACCGGCTGCCTCCAGGGCGCGCGTTAGCTGGAAGCTGGGATTAGGAGCAGAGCCAGGACTCAGCCTAGGCCCTGTGATGTGGAGGAAGGCGTCCCAAGCGACATCTTAATGGCGGCTGTGTCCAGTGCTACCCATGGCCCCCGGAAACCTTCCCTCCACGTCTCACAACAACCCATCAGGAAGAGGAGAACCTGACAGTGGAGGAAGTACCGGGGCGTCCAGGTACAGGGCAGCTGCAGAGCTGAGGTCCGGCATCAGACCCGCCCACCCCAAAGCCTGCAGGCGCGGTACCGCTCACCTCGGTCAACATCACGAGGCCCAGAAAGTAGGAGACGACCGACAGCGCCAGGATGAGCAGCTCACGCCGGTAGCCCCTCCGGAAGACCTTGGGGTACATGTCTACCACAGCGGTCACCAGGCTTTCCACGCACACAAACTGCGGGGGGCAGGGAGGGCGGAGACACAAGGTGTGAGATCCTGGGAGCTCACTCCCAGGCCAGGGCCAGGGCCAGCACCAGCACCAGCAGAGCTCCATCTGTCCACTTAATGGACAGGGACACAGAGGCTCAGAGGCAGGACTCAAACCCGGGGCCTGCAGATGCCACATGCAGCCACCTGCTGACGCTGCTCTGGGGCCGACAATGTCAGGGAGACTCCTGAGCTGCTCTGGGAGCTCTGTGTCCTGGGGGCAGCAGGTATACGTCAGTCTCTGTGTTCTCCAGGGTGGGATGGTCCCTGGCATTTGCTTCTGATGGGCAAGCCCCCCGGGGCCAGGTGGAGGGGAGCAGAAGTGAGCCACACCCCCCCATACTGAGTTTCTGCCGTCCGTGTATGCAGAGAGGCAGATAAAGCTGGTACGCCCCCGCAAATCAGCATCCCTGTGCCGTGATCTCCTCCCCTGCAGAAAGAGGTCCCTGGCGGTGTGATTACTGTGACAGTGGACCAAGAACACAGCCCAGGCACACAGCAAGTGCAGCAGGCCTGGGGGTGGGCAGAGCTGCCACGTGCCAGGTCTCTGTACCCCTGGGTCCACGTGCCGGCCAGCCCAGCCCAGCCCCCGCCTCCCTCTGCCAGGCACGAGCGGCTGATCCCTCTGAGGCCTCGGCCTGCAACAATGGAAGGACAGATTATCAGCAGCAACAGCCGGTGCTGGGCAGCTCGGCTTAGCCGTATCTGGGAAATAGCTCGGGGGAGACACTGGATGGGGATGGGTTGACAGACTTGCTGGCACGGGGCCTGAGCACCAAGCAAGCGCCCAAGGGCGAGGGTGGGGGCGGCAGGTGCCAGGCTTGCTCAGGCACCGCCCTGCACAGGCTGGGCCACCTCCCCCTGACCCGGGAGGCCGGGGAGCCTACTTCCTGCATCTGTGCTGCCTCCAGGAGGGACCACCCTGCCCAGCTCATGCCAAGAAGCCCCAGACTGAGGCACAGCTGCTAGCTTGGCTGCAGGAAGCTCTCCGGGGCTCCTTGGGAAGCGAGTCTGGCCAAGGCAGGATCTGAGGCTACAGGACGTGGGCTAGGAACCACAGGGAGGGCTGCAGTGGGTGTTGGAGTGGAGAGTGGGTGAGCGTGGGTGGGGAGAGCCGAGGGCACCTGCACCGTGTGGAGATGAAGGGGCCCTGAGGTCCGGGAGAACCAGCGCTGGTCTTTGCACTGCACAGGGAAGGCAGGTGCCAGGTGCCAATGATGGCGACAAGGATGCAGGCAGGAGGGTGGGCGTGGGAGGCGGAGCAGCGGGAGCCTGGTCCCAGCGGTGGTGGCATCAGCCCCGAGCTGGGGCGGGGGGAACTGTGCTATTCCAGACCCCGTGTCCTGAACAGTTTGCTAGGGACCGGGACACACACGCTGTGAGCTCCTGCTGTCTCCCCACGACTTCCCTGTGCTTGGCTGGGTGGCACCGCTGGGCAGGAGAAGGGTGCAGAGCCAAAGCTCTGAGCACAGTTTTCAAAACCCGAACTGGGGGTGGGGATCTCCCAGTGGTGAAAATCAGAGCTTGGGAAGGTGCTGAGGGACCGAGCAGATGTGCCTGGGGACCAGAAGGCTGCGGGCAGGGAAGCAGGGTGGGCAGGGCCCTGATGCCAGGGCTGGGAGGTAGGAGCCCCTCCCTGAGGCAGCATCTGCCCCACTCCTCTGGCCCCTTACCTGGCTGTCCAGGCCCAGGAAGATGAGCATCATGAAGAACAAGGCGGCCCACAGCGGGGAGAGGGGCATCATGGTGACAGCCTTGGGGTAGGCGATGAAGGCCAGGCCAGGACCTGCAGCAAAGCAGAGCACTGCTGGGTGGAGCCGGCCCCCCGCCCCAGCGTTCACCCGGCGCGGGCCCGAGTCGTTCGCCGTCCACTCGACCCTCCCAGCCACCCTGGGCACTCGGTGCTGTTCTGACGCCCATGCTGCAGAAGCGTCAGAGGAGGCACAGGGCAGTAAAGTGAGGGTCACCAGGGGTTAGGACGAAGACCCAGGCTGCACGGCACACGGACCCTCCTCTGGACAGACCTGTCTCTACTGCTCTTGCAGGGAGGGTGGTGGGACTTCCTGTGCAAACCCAGACTCTCAGGTCCACTCCAGAGACCCTGAGTCAGTCTAGGATTAGCCAGCAACCAGCCAGGCCCTGGGACGACTCCAGAGCTGGTGGTCAGCCGTCCGGCCTTGGCGCGGGTGGCTCCACCCAGGCCGCCTCTTCCTCGTTGCCGCTTATCCCCAGCTGTGCTTTTCACGGTTTCAGTTAATTAGCCACAGCCAACTGCACAGCAAAAGCACCATGCGGAAAACTCCGGAAATAAACACTTCATGTTTTAAATTGCACACCATCTGTCCAGTGTGTCCACGCTGTGTGCAGGACCCGCCCGCCAGTCACTCAGTCGCTACCTTGGCTACCAGGCTGACTGTCACGGTACCACGTGGTACTACCAGCCCCCACGTCCAAGAGTGGCGATGCTTGGAGGAGCCAAAGAGAAGCCGTAAAGTGCTTCCTTTAGGTGAAAATTTATCCCAGGTTTGTATGCATGCACAGGACAGAAACAACACACAGGGCTTGGTACTCCTGGAACGGATGCCCTGCAGGGAGATGGGGCCGGCCGTGGGTGTTCCCGGCAGAGGGCCTGGCTCACACCCCAGTATCCTAGGCTGTAGCTCGGGGTTGTGAGCACAGGCGATTTGCAGCCAGATGGCCTGGGGTCCAGCCCCAGGTCCTCTCATTATTTCCTGTGAGCTATGCCCTGGCTCCTTGGCTAAATAACGGGGACAGCAACATCCACCCTGAAAAGGAGTTTGAGCCTCAGAGAGCTGACGCGGAGGCTCAGCACACACGGGCTCGGATAAAGGGTGGCTTTGGCACAGGACAAGCTGCGCGAGGTCAACACCTGTTTTAAGCGTACCCTTCAGCAAATACTGGGAAAGCAAGTGTGCCCAGACACCCACCGGTGCCGTCAGTAGAGGACACGCCACCAACTCCTGGGCATCGACACCTCCAGTCCCACCTCCACCCTGGGCAGCCAGGGCTGTGTCCACCTTGGATCAGTTGTGCCTATCCATCCGGGACTGGAATCCCGGGGTCAGATGGCCACCTTGGGTTTATCATTCTAAGATAGGCCAAACGGATCTCCAAAGGAGCCATGCCGCTCTGCAGTCCCACCTGCGCGGTCCCAGGCTGCCAGCCACTCCCGATCCTGACAGACACCTGACATGTCCAGCTGGTCGACGCAGCCGCTTAATCACCATGATTTTCACTTGCATTTCCCTGGTCACTGAGTACCTTCACGCTAAATTTCCATTCATATCTGTGTGTGTGTGGGGGAATGACACGAGTGTGCACCTCTACTGGTTCACTCCCCAGACTCCCCAGACTCCCCAGTGACGGCTGGGACTGCGGCCAGCAGGCCGGAGCTCCACCCAGGTCTCCCACACTGGTGGCAGAATCTCAATTACTTCCGCCCTCACCTGTGCCTCCCAGGTCTGCGCTGGCGCTGAGTCAGGAGCCAGAGGCAGGGGTGAGGACCAGGACTCCACTGTGGGACACGGCTTCCTAACCTCAGACGCCCCTCCCTGCCCCGCCCCTTCAGTTTCTTAATGGTGTCTTCAAAGGGCAGCAGTTTAAACTCCACCGACTGTTAGCTGCCAGCAACACACTTCCGTTTCTCATCCTTTTATCCTGTGACCTAAGTTTCCTTATTATTTTTTAGGTTCCCCGGGATTTTTTTTACTTAATCATGCTGTGTATAAATAAGGACAGTTTTTATTCTTCCTTTCCCACCTTAAAGCTTTGTATTTCTTTCATTCGTTCACTCTTCCTCATTCATTCTATTGGCCTTACTGCACGCTCTGGGAACTCCGATATTAAATGGAACAGAAAGCGACACGACGTGTCCCTGCTGTGTCTCAGATTTTAGGGAAACACAGTGAAGGTTTAACAACCGGGAAATGAACCTTGATGCGTTAGTGTTAACTGAACCACGGATCTCACTCCCTTTCTGCCCGCAGTGCAGGGGCCCACGCTGCCCACGCGTGGCTGTGTGTCTATGCTCCTCCAGTCTGTGACGACTCGTATTGCATGAACCTGACGTCTGCGGTGAGCATGGGCGTCTGCTTTCTGGGCTCTCTCCTCATCTGATGTCTGGGCCACAGAAGCGATGCCGTGTCCTGCCCGGTACATCACACCGGGGCGCACGTGGCCATCATGCTCGTCACCGGGACGTGTGCCTCACTCACGTGGTTCAGCAGGTGTGCGCCAGCTGCCAGCTTCCGTCACTGGGGAGCCACGGTGTCCCCTTTGCCGCTGTCAGATATCTTGGTCGGGGGGAGAGATTCTGAGATGACGAAAATGTCCTCTTTCTCCTCGAGTTCTGCACCCAGCCTGCACCCACAACCGTGGTGCTGCGTGCCCGCGGGTGGGCTGGGAGTCCCTGCATTCCTCCCGTAATCACGGCTACGATTCTCTTGTGAGGAGGTGCTGGCTGTGCCTGCCCACTCGTGCGGTTTTCCAGCGACATCACTGCAGGATTCTGGTGTTCGGTTTGCCAGGCGGGCCACAAGGCAACACTGTCACCACCACTTCTGCCGTTGACGTTGCCCCAACTGTGGCCGTGGGAGTCCCTTCAGGCTGGCTCCTGGGTCCCTGTGCTGTGCACCCAACCTGTTCTGAGTGGGCGTGTGCGTTCCGGAACCCCAAAGTGCACCGGCTTCATGGGGCCCCGCCCCAGCGCCAGAATCAACAGCTTCTCTAAGGAGCCTTGGATTCTTCCACGGGAGGAAGGCGTTTAGAAGCCACGACGCAGGTGCTGGGTGCGCTGGCAGCCCCTGGGCGTCCTTGCTGGAAGGCCCTGTCCCCACCAAAGCCAGGAGATGCAAACATTTCCAGGTCTCGCTCTGTACACGTCCTGAACCCTAAGATTGAATGCACTGCTAACTCCAAGCGTAATACAGTTCACTCCAACGTCTCCACTTACGGGCCCTCTCAGAGGTGGGCCTTCTGGACTGATGTTCCCAACTACCCTTTCGGTCTTCCAGGTTCGGCTCCTCATCCGCCTGTGAGACATCTTCCCCGGTGATGCTTCTAAGTACGACTTCGGCCCACGGTTCTGCGTTCCTTCCTAGGGACTCCAGCAGTATGCGGTGTTACTTCCTCTCTGGCCATGTTCCAGTTCCACTTGCGGTGTGTGTGTCCGGGTGGGTGGGGGTGCTTTCACTTCTCTCCTCGACTCCTTTTCCTTCCCTCTGGGTTTCCAGCCTGTCTTTCATGCCCCCTTCCAGAACGTTCTCCAGTGAACACCTACCTGATCATTTACTCTCAGCTTCTGAGATGATTCTGCGCTCGCTCGCTCGCTCTCCCTCCCTCCCTCCCTCCCTCTCTCCCTCTCCCCTGCCCCCTGTGTTTGCTCCACTCTCTTTTCCCTTCTTCCCACCCAGCTCTCTCACCTGGGCCAAGCGACAGTTTTGAGTTTCTGGCTCAAGGTGTTTCCCACCCCTCTCAGATTCTTGGGCCAGTCTATGTGGTTCTGCTGGTGCTGTGGTGTGGACAGACTGCCCTGTGCGCAGCAGACCTCTGGGTACCCTAAATACCGGCTTGCCGGTGTCCTGCTGCTGGGAGGTGCACCACTGAAGAGGCGGCTGGGCCATAAAGGGGGGCTTGACTCTTCCACTTTCTCTGGAAAGCCGGGTCTTACAAAGCAGGGCGGCCCCTTTGTCCCCTCGCTCTCTTCCATTCCCACCATTGGCATGTTGGACGCAGGCCCAGGCCCTCACCTTCCATCTTTAACTTCCTTGTTGCTGGAGCTGAGAGTGGAACACACCTCCTTCTTCATAACCTACACCATCTAGGGTGTCCTGACCCTCAGTTTTCTCACCCGCAAAATGGGCACAGCAAAAGTGCCCCTGCTAAGGGACACCACAGAGCTTAGGGACACACAAGATCAGCTGTGATGGCTCCCGAGCAGGGTGGGCACCGGACAATCAGGGTTTGACCTCAGTGCTCTCCTAGGGTCCAGCTCCGGGCTCCTGTCTCTGTGTCTGACACCCAAGACCAAGAGGAAGCAGGGCTCTGAGTGGTCACACTGCAGAGCCCAAGAACCCGTGTCTTCCTTCGATACCCACATCATGCACCTACCCAGTGTCTGACTGTGTGCACCACACACAGCACCCACACTCAGGCCAGGGCAGCCGCCACGGTGAGCGGTAACTGACACGGGGCAGGTGGCACCCTGTGCTGCTCTGGGTCGACTTCTCACCAGACGGTCTTGTGGGGAAAAACCAATTCACACATGCTAGGCTTAGAATCTGTCAACGTTGCCCAAACTCCAACCACGTTTGCACTTTCTCATTTACAACAGGTCTGCCTGGGACCTGAGTACCACGGAGCGCAAGGGAAGGGCTCTCCACAGCCCACCACCCCCAACCCAGCACAGTCACATGAGCAAGGACGCCCTGCCCAGGTGGGAGAGACAAACACAGCAGCCTACGCTAGAGGCGGGGACACTTGTGCTGGCCCCAAGCAATGGGCACAGCACACGCAAAGACACTGTGGTAGGAGGGAGCAGGCTAGGCCATCAAAGTCAAACTGACCCTTGTGCTGGGGCAGAGAGAGGTGCGTGGTGAGGCCATGGGCAAGGCTGTGAGAGTCCAGCACCACGAGAAGCCGAGAACGGGCACTCCTGAGATTTGCAGTTTGAGAAAACTCTATGGGGTAGACCCTGCGGTACAAGGAGTGCGTGGTGGCAGGGGGTGGGGGGCGTGGCCATCCTGGCGGGTGGCGACGGGCAGCTGAGCTAGGCCAGGCGATGTTAAGGAAGCAGACTCCAAAATGGGGGCCGGTGGTGTACTTGGGACTGGGGAGTGGGCAGATGTCCGGGTCTCCCTCCCAGGTCTTTCCTGGGATCCTGGGTGTGGGTGTGGGTGGGGGGACATTCTGAGACCTGAATCCAGGCGGCACAGGAGCCAGGGAGGAGAGCAGATCTGTACTGCAGTTGCCCAGCCCCCGCAGGTGCTCCTGTGTACCCCCAGCCCCCCACCTCCCACCGCGGGCAAACTCACCTGACTCCGCCACCTCGGCGATGGGGACTCCCTGCTCGAACGCCATGAAGCCCAGGACCGAGAAGATGGCAAAGCCGGCCACGAAGCTGGTGCCGCTGTTCAGACAGCAGAGCATGATGCAGTCCCTGGGGGACAGCGGGAGGACAGGGGTCAGCGCGGGTGGGGCAGGCTCTGAGCGGCTCTGCCCGAGCGCCGTGCGGGGAAGGGCTGCACCAAGGGAAGCATCGGCAGCCTGGGGGTCAGGGGCCGGCCCTCCGCTGCCGGCTTCTCCTGCGTCTGCAGAGGACGTGGCCGGTGATGGTCCACAGGCGTGGGGAGGGAGTGAGAAGGAACTGGGGAAACACGACGGAGACAAGGCAATGCTGCTCCGAGGCCCTGGCGGGAGGGACAGCCCGAGGGGTGGGACTCCTGGGAGCTAGGAGACCCCCACCCCGCGAGGACTGGAGGCTCCTCGCACCCAGTCCTGGCAGAGCGCCCCACTGGTGCCCCCTCTGCTCTGGGAGTGAGCACTTGGAGCCCTGACTGCCCCGAAACAAAGTCGGGCCAAAGCCGCCAGCCAGGAGAAACCACATGACAGGATGGAGCCTTGTCAGGATGAAGAAGAGGGCGCCCCAAGCCCCGGTCCCTCCCACCGTGGGGACCCAGCCCCTAGAATCTGCACAGCATGGACGTGTGAGTTAGCACACGGGTGCCCACGCTGCCCCAACAGCAAGCAGCCAGCACAGGACCTTCCCCGGCCTCGTGCTGGAGGCAGGGCAGCCCAGCTGGTGGTGGGCTGCCCACTCTGTGCAGCAGGGAGAGGAGCTGCCGTCTGAACCTGCGTGGACGGCACCTGGACCTTACAGGTGGCGGGAAGGACCAGCTCGCTCCCAGCGGTTCTGCCTTCCCGGGCAGGTTCCAGTGCAACTACCTCAGCCTGGAGCTCCTTCCGGCCTGGCAGGTGTGCAGAGTGGGCCTCCAGCCCTCGGCGTGTGTGGTCCTCCCAGCCAGCCTTGCCAGCTCCCTCACCCCGCTCGTGGTCTCTGATGCGCCCAGCCTGTCCTGCCCTCGCCAGCGGCTGCCTGCAGGGCCGAACACCAGACCCAAGACCCAAGCAGGACTCTTGCCTCCCCTCTGCCGACGCCACACTTTGAGTCGTGCAGCCGAAGCTTACGTTGCTGTTGCTGGCAGCCAGCAGCCCTGCAGTGAGCCTGGGGAAGGAGGCCAAGGCAGCCTGAGCATGAGGGGGGGCCCCAGAGACCCCCGACTCAGTATCTTTTCTCTGGGTCCAGTGTCGGCAGCAGCCAGGACACAGCCCTTGGATATTGGGAGCTTTGGGGCTTGAGCCGGACCAAATTCTTTTCGACAGGAGGCCACGCCCCTCCCCTCTTCCCCAGGCCGAGCATCCCCCCGCCCCTCACTGGCTCACTCAGGCCATTGAGACGCAGGTAGAGGAACAGAGAAGCTCTCGAGGGACCTGGGTGGCTGGCAGCCCCAGCACTTGCCCCTGGTCCCCGGAGCACCCGCCCCTCCGAGCACCAGGCGCAGGGTGGCAGGTCTTTTGAAGTGAGGATTTTCCTTGCCCGCCCCTTTAATTCCGTCGCCGCACGGGCACAGCACCATGGAGGAAAAGGCTCCTGTCAGGGGCTCTCTGAAGTCAGCAGGGGGCTGCGTGGGCTCTGCAGCCTCCAGAAGCCGCTGAGCTGTCAGGACGGAGGGCGGTGATTCACTCCCAGGCGGAAGACCTGCCCGCGGGGAAGTAAAGCGCGCCTTCCCGCCCCGCGCGGTCTCCTAGGGGATCCGCTTTCTTCTGCTGATGGCAGAGAGCTGTAGGCTCCTGCCTGCCGGACAGGAAGGCGGAAGGGTCCGAGGCGGCCCGCATCCATCACCCACGGGCTCTGTGAGGCGGAGACGGCCCCGACACAGGCTGGAGGCCAGGCCACATCCCCTCCAATGCCAGTGGTTGGGAAGGAGCCACTGCTGGCAGCGAGGAACGGGGTGCAGGAGCCAGGGAGAAAGGCAGGCTCCGTCACCAGCCACACAAGCACACACAGGGGCCTCGACTTCCACGGCCTCTGTCCCCTCCTCTGCACAAATGGGTGGGGCCTTTCTTATGGCCCCACCATGGGACCTGGCAGCGGACAGGGCTTCCCGTCCCGACTGCCTGGCTGTGACGGACAGGGCCGCTCCGAGGACCCAGGATGAGCATCAGGTCCTGACAAGGCAAGCGCAGTGGGCAGGCAGCTCCCTGCGCAGCAGCCACAGGGTCGGCACTGGGCCCGGGGCCACGGCCTTCCGCATCCCACACTCACATCCTGCCCTGCAGCTGACACAGCACCCCACGCCTCATGCCCAGATCCACCTCCTCTGTGAGAGCCTGCAAGACGCAGAGGCCCCTGTGGACCCCTGGAGCACCTGCAGGTACCGCCCGGCCGTCATCCAGCCATGCCCACCGGCCTCCCGGCCCCGAGTCCTGCAGTGACATCAGGACCCCTCACGACACACAGGAGTCTGCAGCACTTTTCCTCGCCCCTCTTGCACCCACCTCCCCTTCCTTTCATTTATTCGAGCAACAGTGAAACAAAGACATGGGGACAGACAGACAGACAGCATCCATCTGCTGGGCCACTCCCCTGCTGCCCACAACAGTCAGGGCTCTGCCACACTGAAGCCAGGAGCTGGGAGCTCCATCCAGATTACCCACGTGGATGGCAGGGACCCAGCCACTTAAGCCATCACCAGGGCCTCCAGGGTCTGTGTTTGGCAGGAGTCAGGAACCAGAGCTGGAAGTCAAACCTAGGCACTGTGGTATAGAACACAGGCATCTCAAATGCCCACCCCAGGGGCTGGCACCGTGGCTCACTTAGCTAATCCTCCGCCTGTGGTGCCGGCATCCCATATGGGCGCTGGGTTCTGGTCCCGGTTGCTCCTCTTCCAGTCCAGCTCTCTGCTGTGGCCCGGGAGTGCAATGGAGGATGGCCCAAGTGCTTGGGCCCTGCACCCGCGTGGGAGACCAGGAGGAAGCTCCTGGCTCCTGGCTTCGGATCAGCTCGGCATGCTGGCCGCAGCGGCCATTTTGGGGGTGAACCAACGGAAAGAAGACCTTTCTCTCTGTCTCTCTCTCACTGTCTAATTCTGCCTGTCAAAAAAAGAAAAAAAAAAGAAACCACCCCCAAAAGAGGAATGAAATACTTATCTTAGGATGGAAAGAGGTGTAGAAAACATCAACAATAATTGGAGAACTCACAAAGGAAGAAAAGTGAGAGATCGGTCCGTATAAAAATCTGTAACTGCTAAAACACGGAAGAAACCCAGAGAACTACTCCTAACTGCTGCCCCCAGGTGACGCCAGGCAGGGAGACCCTGTCCCCCACGTCCCCGGGCCTCCATGGCCTCTCAAAGTTCTGTCTGCTTGGTTGTTCACTCTGTGTGCACTGCTTTTCTTCTTAAAAGTCAAGCAGCAGCACACGTCACCTGCGAACCTTTCTGCACGATACCTGAAGATACGTAAGAGAACACAGCGTCTCCCTTCTCATCCAGCCTGTGATGGGGGGGGGGGGGGTTTCCGCTGTCATTCCCCTGCAGTCTCACCCTGCCCTCCAGGACCCCACGAAACCTCACTGCCGTGTCCCAGACATGGAGCTTGGGGTGCCTCACAGGATGACCACTAGTCCAGAGACCAGGGCTGGGCCCGCACCTCACTGCCCCACGCCCTGCTGGTGACCCAGGCAAGGACTTGCTCCCTGTGGTCACTGCTGAAGCGACGGCTTTGCCCAACATTGGTTCCGTGACCTTGGACTGTCCTTTATCCACCTGGGGATAGATCTGGGCCACACACGGTGGCGCCAAGGCCCGGATGAGACTACAGGTGGATTCCTCCATAGCCTGCGATGGGCCCATCACATCCGCTGCTCCCCTGGCCCCTCTGGGCACCACCTCATTAAGCCTGAGGCTGGTAGAGGTCAGAAAACAGCCTGTGTCTAATCTGGGGGCTCTGCAAGATGGGGAAGGTGAACGGGGCGGAGCCTGGCAGCATGGAGGGCTCCTGGGGTGCAGAGGAGACGGGGCAGCACCGGGGCACTGCTCACCTGTAGCAGTTGTTGTTGTAATTGTTGTAACTTCCCAGCGCCGTCAGACAGCCCAGGCAGATGGCATAGGAGAAGAAGATCTGCGTGCCGGCATCCACCCAGACCTGCAGGAGACACAGAGGGGCTGGTGTGAACGGAAGTCAGCCGTGTGTGTGCATACGTGTGTGTGTGTGTGTGTGTGGTGGTCGTCACCTCTCAAAGGCCCCAACCCACACTCCACCCTCGGCAAAACCCCAGCCACTTTTTCAAAGGAGTTCTGGTCATGGGAACACCTTGCTCAAACACAAACGTCCTTAATTAGTTGTGCAGCTCTCCTGCAGGCTATGGATAGTAACAGCTCATGGAGTAGCAGGACTGGGGTGTTCAGTGACACGGTCCCGGCCCTCTAACCTCGGAGAGGTTGCTAAATCTCTCTGAGCCGCTTGTCTGCAAAGCTGGGAAGCGCTGCCCCCCGCAGGCTGTGAGCGGATTCATGCGATAATGAGTGTGAGCCCCTGGGGCCCAGTGCCTGCTCCGGAGTCAAATCAAGTTTATGTCAAAACGCAGGCTTCCTTGTCCTGGTGAAGACGACTCCCCGGGAGGGGCGGTGCAAGACTGGGAGCAGGCGGGGGGTGTGCTGACCTGGGCACACGTGGGCAGAGGCAGGCAAGGAGACGGGGCAGGGTGGGGGCGCCCACTCCGCCTTTATCACCTTTCCAAGCAGCTCAGGCCTCCTACGTGGTGTGGTGCATATGGTGACCGGTTTCTGAGTGGCCCAGCTCCCCTCTGACACAGACTGCTGTGGACAGCGTGACATGTGCAACGGGAATTACAGGGGCTTCTCTAGCACTTTCCCCCAGGCTCCCCTGGAGCTCAGCTCCTGGAATGATGGAAGAAAATCCACAGCTAAAACCCAAATGCAGCTGACAGGGCTCATGCGTCGGCATCCACGCCCTGGAGAGCTGGGCATGGCACTGTACACATAGTATCCAGCATTCGGGGGCCACGTGGGTGCGCCCGGCCCGTGCTGATCTCTGAGTCACTGCACTGCACCTCTGATGGCTGAAATGGCTAAGGAACAGAGAGGCTGAGTGGGGCACCCAATACCACAGCAGGTGGGGGCTTGTGGAGATGGCCCCAGCATTCCCGACGTCGAATCAGCCCCAGACAGCCATGCTGTAACCCCTCACCGACACAGGGCCCTCTTCTGAGCACACTCTCTGCTCCATCACGGCTCACACAGGAGGCTCACAGACCCCTGGAGGCAGCCCCCTTCTTTAGAGAGCTCTGTTACAGCATTCTTACGAGAACTGCTTGGGCCGCTAACTCTGGGCTCCCCCAGACCCCATCGCCCTCCTCCATGTGGCAGCATTGGAGAGATCGGAGCAGGTGCCGGTGTCTGGTGAGCCCCAGCTCCGTCCCCGACACGGTGAAGGACCTTCCGTTTCTCTCTCCTGGAGTCGCTCCAGTCTGTGCTGCTGCTTCAGACTGAAGGACACAGGGCTGCCTGGAATCCGGCCCCTGCACGAGCTCCGTGCCCCCCAACACAGGCTCACCAGGCTCAGGGGCCTGCGGCCAGGGCAGGAGCTTGGGCAGGGCTGGTGCAGGGGGCAGGCAGTGCGGGCAACGGTGGTGCCTCTGAGGGGGTTAGGACGTGGTTGGGAGAGACGGAGGGGACAGAAGAAAAGTCCTCAGGGCGTGCGGCTGTGGAGGGGAGACAGGAGGTGCGGCAGTGAGGAGAGAGCAGGTGGAGTGTGGGAGGAGCCGAGGATGCCTCAGTGCGACAGGGAGGACCCAGGGGGCGTGTGTGTCGGGGGAGCGTTACACGACAGAGGCTCTGCGTGTGTGTGTGTGTGTGTGTGTGTGTGTGTCGGGGGAGCGTTACAGGACAGAGGCTGTGTGTGTGTGTGTGTGTGTGTATTGGGGGGAGCGTTACAGGACAGAGGCTGTGTGTGTGTGTGTGTTTGTGTATTGGGGGGAGCGTTACAGGACAGAGGCAGTGTGTGTGTGTGTGTGTGTGTGTGTGCGCGCGCAGAGGGGAGCGTTACAGGACAGAGGCAGTGTGTGTGTGTGTGTGTGTGTGTGTGTGTGTCGGGGGAGTGTTACAGGACAGAGGCTCTGCGTGTGTGTGTGTGTGTGTGTGCGCGCATGTGTGCGGGAGGGGAGCATTACAGGACAGAGGCTCTGTGTGTGTGTGTGTGTGTGGGAGGGGAGTGTTACAGGACAGAGGCAGTGTGTGTGTGTGTGTGTGCGCGCAGAGGGGAGCGTTACAGGACAGAAGCAGTGTGTGTGTGTGTATGTGTGTGCGTGCGGGAGGGGAAGGGAGCGTTACAGGACAGAGGCTGTGTGTGTGTGTGTGTGTCGGGGGGAGTGTTGACAGGACAGAGGCAGTGGGGGGGGGGCGGGGGGAGTGTTGATAGGAGGGACCCTGTGTGTATGTGCGCACTGTGGGGAGGGCTGGAGGCCCAGGAGAGAAAGGACTGTTCTGCCTCAGTTTCCCCACTTGCTACCCCAGGAATTCTCTTTTTCCTCAACGAGGAAAGCTGAACCCCACACAGTAATCAACAAGCAGGCCCACGGGCCCTCCACCGAGCAGCACGGGGCCTGATCAGATGCCCAGTCCTGGAGTGCACCCCAAGTGCCCAGAGAGCTCCCGACTCCCCGGGGCTGGGTGGGCAAGTCCAGGGAGAGCTGCCCCCAGACACGTAGCTCCCTGTGCCTTCGCGACCAGTGCTGCCGTTCGGCAGGGTGGCCGCTCCCTGCGACGTGAATCAGCCTTCGAGCCAGCCGCAGTGTTCTGCCCCCACCCCACAGCTTCCACCTGCAGGCACTCCCTGCCGTTTGCTCCTGGAGCACCTGCACACCAAAGTGCCCCTGGCTGGTGCTGCCCACCCGGCACCCATCTCATTTTGGGGGAGCAACACTTCCATTTTCCTTTGGGAAGCCACCACTTCCTCACTCAGGGGCGGACGGGTGCCCCAGGCCCGGCCAATCAAAGCACTCCTCTCGGCCACAGGGATGGGTTCAGGGGTGAGAACAGCCTGCCTGCGAATAAAGCCCACACAGGAAGGCAGAAGCTGCAGCAGGAAGGGAAGATATTGGTGATCGGAGCTGAGCTCCTGGAGCAAGCCATGCCTGAATCAGACATACCCCAGAAGCTTCCAGTTTCACTGGATTGCTGTTCATTCAAACTGAAAACATTCCTGTAAGCCTAAGCAATGTGAGGGTTACAGGAAAACCCAGGGGGGATAAGCCCACGTCTTCTGATCAATCCTGAATCACTGATGGGCCAGCATTTATTGAGCACCTTCTGTGTGCAGAATCCTGTGCTGGATTCTGAAGGTGTGGCACCAAGGCCTGCGGCAGCCGTCTGTGAACACAGGGGAGATGGGGAGCACACCCACAAAGCAGGGTGTGCAGGAGTGAAGGCACAGATGAGTGCTGAGTCCCGGGTGCAGGGTGGTCAAGGAATGCGGTCTTTGCCACCTATGAAGACCGGGGACCACAAGCCAGAGGGCTGCCAAGCCCGGCGGCGGGGGGGGGGGGGGCACGGGGGGAGTGACCGCACAGGAGTCTTCGTCAAGCCCCTTACCTCCGCGGGGAAGGCCCGTCACTGTCACTCTGGAGGTTCCTCCGGAACAGGACCCCTGCACAACCCCCTCAGCACCCTCCTGTTTTTGGAAATCGCCTTTTGGTTTTCCACCGTGAGGAGCACGGAAATCAGAGGGTCATTTCTATTCCTCTTCCCACCTCTCCCCTGGCATCTAATCTGAAGACACACCCTGGGGTGGGTGGCTGGCGCAGGGGTTAGCATGCTGCCTGCGACACCTGCAGTCCCACGACGCAGTGCCTGGGTTCACGTCTCAGGCCCACTTGTTGCCGATGTGCACCCTGGAAGGTGATGCCCACATGGAAGACCGGAATGAAGGTCCCAGCTCCACACTTGGGCCTGGCTCAGCCCAGCTGTGGCAGGCATTTGGGAAGTGGAACCACTGGGTGGGAGATTTCCGTTTCTCTCAAAAATCAGAAACAAAAAACATGCACTTGCTTCCAATCTGTGAACTTACTCTGCTTTTCATGTACCCCCAGAACACACAGCCATTATGTATTACGAGGGAAAGGCATTTGCTAAGGTGAAATATTTCAGGAGCAAACCCGTTGAGAATTCTTCTGAGGACGACACTTCCCATGCTCACTCCAAGCCTTCTGATAACACTGTGCCAGTCAATCTTGTTCCCGGTAAATTCCTCCGGAAAGGTTCTTGGGAAAGGTGTCCCGACTTCTTCCTCAGAAGAAGTGGTTTCTGCTCGTGTTCTCCCTGAATCTCGATGGCGTGTTTAAAAGGGCTGCTGTAGAAAAGTCTGCACTGCCTAGCTTGTGTCTCCTTACAAAGCACTTGCATCCTGTGTCTCAACACTGTCTACACAGCGCTGATTTTTCCAGGATCACGGTGCACTCCTCCAAGGTACACGTACAAGTTTTCTTTATTTCAGGAAGCACGAAACTCTGAGTTATTATTGGCCTCAGTATTTATTTGCTTCCTTTGCTTTCGGTTTCTTCTTGGGAACTTTTGCGAATGTTGGATCTTCTTTGCCTAGCGTCTATGTTACTTTTTCTTCTGAGCTTTTAAAGATCTCTTTATTTATCTCTGACTGCATTTTCCTCCTCTATTTACTGCATGCTATGATCTGTGATCTCTGTGGACTCTTTCATTTCTTATTTTTCCTGAATTATGTTTCCTAAGGCACGCTTCTTGCCAGTGCTCTTTTTAAACCTTCGTCCAATGATTTACACTTATGCTCTTTGTGCCGTGGCACTGCTGGCTGCTTGGTTTGTTCTGCAATATTGAGCTCCAGTGTGCAGCTGCTTTGTGGATCTTTGAAGAACGCCTTCATCACCACAGTGCTCACAGCCCTGTCTCAGAAGAATGCTGGATGGGATCTAACTACATCCTCTTCCACTGGCACGTGTATCTGAGGTCAGCTTTCCTGAATTTTTTAAAAAGGCTTATTTTATTTATTTGAAAGCATTACAGAGGGAGGCAGAGACACACACACAGAGAGAGAGAGAGAGATCTCCCATTTGCTGGTTCACTCCCCACATAGCTGCAATGGCCAGAGCTGAG